CTGCAACGGCCCAGCGAGCGCCTTCACGTCCTGCTCCGCCGTGCAGAACTGTGCTGGGGCCAGCAGGCTCTCAGGCCGCTCGTGCTTTCTGCCCTCCATCTCCCAGTCGCCCGGCTTCCCGGGCTGCATGCTCTCCATGAGGCTCTGCTGCTGTTGGCCTTTCTTCGCCGGGGGCATCAAATGTCTTTAAAGGGTGAAATAAGAGAGATGATCAAATAGTGTTGACCTCTCTCCAAGAGAGCAGCCTGAGGCCCACTCCTCTCCTCTCCTCTCCTCTCCCAAGTGCCTTTTGTGGATAAATCTATCAAGCTCCACAAACTAATGAGGAAGATCTCTCAAGAATCCCTAGACCTGCCTGGAAGAGTGGAAACAGCGGCCAGGAAAGTCATCTGTCTCGACTTCCAAGCTAAGTCACTGAGCTGACAGACATCACTGGCCTGATGGAGCTCTGAGCATCCCTGCTACCAGGCAACTCCCAAGATAGCCCTTCTCAGTTTCTCTCCTTTTGCTGTGGCAGAGGAACATACAGAATCCTGGACAATGAACTTGATACAGCCTCTAGATCTTCACACATAAACAATTGTTTTCCGAAATAAACTGTTGAGCTATGGATGGTGATAAAGAAACTCGGGTTTTTTCAAGACAGGGAGTAAGTCGCCCTGGCTGTCCTGGAACTCACTCTGTAGACCAGGCTGGCCTGATGAAAGGCATGTGCCACCACCACCTAGCCAAATTTGGGACCTCACCAAGAGCACTATACACTTTGTTGCTTTCATTTGGGTTTTTGTCGTTGCTGTTGTTTTTTAAGGACTAACTCAAGTGGGTAAAATTTGCATTTCTATAATAAACTTTTTAAAAATTTCGTGGCTGTAAAGCATCTTGGTTGTCATGTCAAACAACCACCCATAAAACATTAATACAATGTAAAAGCTATCAGAATTTGCCCAGTTTCTATAGAGTTTTGTTGTCTTGGGAGCACACAGCAATTTTTGCAGTTTAAAGTGTAGCACACCCATCAAATAGAATTTTTGTTTTGCCAGATAGATATAAATGAACTAGTGTACTGTGACCAAAATTTTTCTGCTTACGTATATTTTAATTCATCAGAAGTGTATACCGATGCATACATGAATACTAACACTGAATATCTCAAGAGATTGCAAGACATTGATCTTACAGTGAAACTTAGGACTCACATTTACAAATACGAAGAAAAAAAAGTGAAATGAACTGACCTTACACCAATATTATTATTTTGGAAGATTGATGCTTTTATTTTCCCTACAGAGTGAAATAGCTATAGTTTGGCCTGGGTATAATGTAGACCTTTTCCCTCTGTTTTTTGTATACTGCTTCAAGAGTTGAAGTAATGCACAAAGTGAATTTCTACTTTCCACATGTCAGCACTTTCTAAATATTGCCTCTTCATGTCTTTCTCTGGAACCCAGGGATCAGATCAACTGTTCTGTGGTTAATATGAAAACGATGGGGCAAGGGAGAAGGTGGAGTTCTGTTGAACACATTTCTAATGCAGCCCAGCCTGCTCCCCTATACAAACCACCTGGGACTCAAGGGCACCCCTGCTAATGTTTCTCTAGCAACAGATGCTTACGTGACAGAAGGGGCAGAACTAGGAGCAGAAGGGTATGGTTGGAGCATTTCTTCTGAGTGGATCCCGCTATCACGGACAGCCTCGGTGCCTGCAGTGGGGGAAGCATCTTGGCCAGCATTAGCACACTGGGAAGCCAGCCCTTTGTACAGCTTTGCCATAGACGACCTAACAGGATGGAAAGAACAATCTCAGGTTGCACAGTGTGAGCCTGGCTAAGAAAAACAGGTGTGCTTCTCAGGTGAAGTGTTCTGTGGTGGGCTCTCTATCCCCAGAGTCCTCTACAAGCCGCATTGCTTATATAACAGCTGGCAGTTGGCTGAAAAGAGCTTGGGTATACAGAGTGGTACTGAGACACAACTGTCAGGAGAAACCCCTAGAGAAATGATACTGTTCTCCAGATGGACAGGATGCTTACAGAAATCTGGAAGCTCTGCTATGGGTTGCTTCTATTCTCCAAGAATAGAATAACACCTAATTTATTCTTCATTGTCTAGCTCTAAAGACTCAGCCCCATGAGACTGAGGTTTTATGGCTGTTTTGTTCATTGCAGTATATTCACTGGGCACACCAATACCTAACAAGCAGCAGGTGTGTTTTGAACCTGAAAAGTTAAGGGAAGCAACATATGAGGGGACAATAGAGCCAAAGTGCTTTCCTTCTAAAGTTACTTCCCTCCTGTGGCCAACTTGACTGCCCCTCCCCCCTTCCCTGCTGTTTCACTTCAGCCCATTCCAGGCACTTGAGTGACTGTTCTGTGCCCTCTTCTCAGAAACCTTTGTCAGGCGCTGCACCACCACAACCTTACTTTTTAAGCTTTTTCCGCTTCTGAATAAGCAATTCTTCATTGCACTGAAACAGCAGGGTGTAATGGGAGATAAACACCCGGAGGCGCTGAACACACACAAGCAGTAGATAATAGTCGGGGTGTTCCTGCTCCGTGAACTTCAGAACATTCTGGATAGAAGGGAAGAGGAATCAGTGTTGCACAATTAGGCTGAAAAGTTGCTTCATCTCTTCCGCACCGCACTTTGAGCTACTGTGAGTGCCAATCAAATCAATCAAAACAACTCAGATGCACTGTCCATCTATCAGTCAGCTGAAAGCTCAAAAGAATGTAAGTCATTCTGTTCTGTTCCATGTGAGTTGGATGTAACTGAATAGAATAGAATAGAATAGAATAGAATAATAGAATTCCACCTTGAAAATCTAGAAAGATCCAACAATTAGATATATGAAGAAATAAAGATGTTCTCACAACTACCTATAAGCAGTACTTAATGGAGTCGGACCACTGCTGAGACTGATAGGCATCAGGTGAGGATGTGAGGTGGGTAGGGGTGGATGGTAGCCCTCCTATTACATTTCCTGATGTTATGGTCTAGGTATGGTTTATCTTTCAAAGGTTCAGGTACTGGAAGCTTAATTCACAGTGTAATGGTTTTTTCTAAAGATGGTCGGACCTAGCTGGGCGTTGGTGGCGCACGCCTTTAATCCCAGCACTCAGGAGGTAGAGGCAGGCGGATCTCTGTGAGTTCCAGACCAGCCTGCTCTACAGAACTAGTTCCAGGACAGCCTCCAAAACCACAGAGAAACCCTGTCTCAGAAAAAAAAAAAAAAAAAAAAAAAAAAAACCAAAAAAAAAAAAAACATGGTAGGACCTTTAAGAGGTGGGACCTAGTGAAATGTATGCTGACTATACTGATGAAGTAATTAATGCTGGTTTTAAAGAGGCGGTTCTTATGAAAAAATAGTTACAGGAAAGTGAGCCTGGACACCACCCCCTTACTTCCTCTTTCATATTGTGTGACCTGCCATTATTATCTATGCTACCACTGTGTTTACCATGAGGAGGTCACCAGACACCAATACCAGCACTATGTCTCCAAAACTGTGTGCCAAAATGAACCTCTTCCCTTAAAAAATACCCAGCCTCGGGTATTTTGTTATAGTAGCACAACATGAAATTAAAGACCTTCTGTGCTACAGTGGGATTGAGAACACTAACATTCAATGACTATGTTATTGATTTGATGATACTTCCTATTGCCAGGAGCTAAGCCATTTTATAATTCATTATCTTCTTTAGTTTTTCTCACAACCCAGTTAGATATATAATAAGTAAGAAAACTAAGATACCAAAATCAGCGGTCTTCTTTAGGTCATGTATCTAATAAATATAAAAGAATGATTTGAATGCAAACTAGAGAGTAGCCCTCAGGTCTCTTTACCTAATGTTTGCAAGACCTGGGATTCAGTCTGAGGTTTTGGCCTACTGGGTGTGTTGTCTTGAACACAGTACTGGGACTGCTTTGGTCCTCCATAGCCTTATGAAAAATGATAATACCTGTTTCATGAAAGTGTTGAAAGAATCCGTAAGATAATTATTGTGTAAAGCCATATCCCAGTGAAAATCTCAATATTGATTCTGGGCTGCTTCTAGCTGAGGTTAATTACAAGCATTTCTAAGATGTTTTCACTGAATTACTTAAGATCAGTCAACCCTTAGATCAAAGCAGATGGATATCAGGAGGAAGAGGTGTTACTAGTAAAAGGCTGGTGAACTCAACTCTACGTCCTCTACAAAGCTACAGGCTCCATGGGGAAATTGTTAAGAATTTGTTCATCAGCTGCTCATGGCTCTTCTGTAACATAAAGTATGAATGCTGTATGATAGAACCCTGGCCCAAGTCAAGTGGAAGCCATCAGGATAGTAGCTTAGTTTACGGTTAAGCAGAAATTAAAAGGCCAGGGGTAACATTCAGATGATTGTAGAACCAAATAGGAGGGAAGTGAATAAGGTACTCAGATGTTATGAAGAGTATTTATAAAAGATCCTGGACCCCCAGAAGTGGAGATTGCTGGTAAGCAAAGATAGAACTTCAGAGACAGCTATCATAAACCAAAAATTTCAAGACCAGATTTTAGTTCATTCTGCAGAGTATGGTGTATTTTGCTGCAGTGTGGTGTAACCATAGCAATCTAAGTCATGTGACTACTTCTTAGAAATACTAATGAGTCCTTGAGCCTTTATAGTATTGCTAATTTGAAAGCCAAAAATAATAGCTCAGTGTAAACATCTGTTGGCTTGTCCAGCTGGGCTCACCTGGAGATGTATCAGATATTCAGGGATGCGCTGTACTATGTGGAAAAACAGGGTATAGATGTCAGATTTAATCTCCTCATCACCCTGAATGAAAAAAAAAACAAAACAAAAACAGTCACTCTAGTGTCCCTGCAGCAGTGCAAATAGAACACCAGAGATCCTTCCCACCAGGTGGGAAATGCATATTTCCAAAGCACTTTCTTTCCAGATTGTTATGAAGCATTTCTTTCTCACTGGAGAGGCCACGTGTTCAAGGTTATGCCCAAAGAGACACCTCTTCTCTATCAGAGGACCTAACATATACTTCTTTCGAATCTACCCAAGTTTCCAAACTATCCCTTCCATCCCCGACCCCTCTAAGGTCAGTGCTAGATAGAAGGAGGCTCTTGGTTAGCTTGAATTAAATCAACAAATTAAGGTTTTCCAGCAAGTCATCTACTGAGGCTCTAAGAGTGAACCAGAGCCTCTCAAGTGGAGACAGGAGAGTGGTTAGAAATTGGTCAGTAAGCCTAGAAGCAGAAAACACAGTGGTCTCCCTCCCCTTCTGTACCTTCCCTTCTCTTCCTTTTTCCAAACATTTGCTGAATGCTATCATGTGATAGTCATTTTGGTTGAGAGGACTCAGGGAGGTGAAGTAGAAAGTGAGATATAGACTCTCATCTCCTGTGAGAAGCAACTACTCTCAGCGTTAGTGTTGATGAAAGTTTCTGTCCTGCCAGCCTCATCACATTAGGGCTCTAGTACTCTAGTTTCTTGTTAACTTAAAATAACACAATGTATGGGCTGTAAAGACAGCAATTGGGGCTGGAGAGATGACTCAGAGGTTAAGAGCACTGGCTGCTCTTCCAGAGGTCATGAGTTCAATTCCCAGCAACCACATGGTGGCTCACAACCATCTGTAATGAGATCCGGTACCCTCTTCTGGCCTTCAGGTGTACATGCAGGCAGAACACTGTATACCTAATAAATAAATAAACCTTTATCAAAAAATAACACAATGTACATGCAGATATGCATGTCAAACACTTAATTTATCACTGAAGTGCCATGCTTCAAGAAACACTATGGAGCCAACTTGACAGAGGACGATTTGAATCCCATACTGAGACTCATATTTTCTGAGGCTGAGAACACAACATACAGCACAAAAGCTGCATGCTGAAGAACTCTAGACTACCTATTTGCTTTGTCTGTAGTTCAGTGTAGTTTATCAGAGCATTGCAAGAACCAGAGCAACACAGAAGAGAGGCATCACTAATATGTTCAAGGCATTCCTCAGTCTGGAAAACAAGCTCATAGGGCATATGCTCTCATGTTGAGTGGACAGACATGCTATAGATGATGTGTAAACAGAGGACAGCATGCGCATAGTGTCAACACTTACCTCCTTCAGAACCACAACATGAACCAATGAGATGCATTCGGGCAAATCCCTCAGGTATGCAACATAATAATCCAAGAAATTATTCTTTAAAACAAACACAGAAATGCATGGTCAGAACTTGGAAGTAGGAATGGCAGCATTTTTATAATGCCGTGAACATAAAAAAGAGCAGAATTCAGAGGATATTTTAATAATTTATTAACTAGGTTCTTTATTTGTTCTTGGAGCTTTTATTCATCTTCTTTATAAAGATTTGTTGTTTTTATTTTACATGTGTTGAGTGTTTGTCTATATGTATATATGTCCCCATGTCAATGCCTGGTATCCTCAGAGGCCAAAAAGTATCAAATATCCTGGAATTGGGGTTGGAGATGGTTGTGAGTGACCATGTGGGTTATCATAACCAAATCCCAATCCTCAGCAAGAGCAGCCAGTGCTCTTAACCTCCGAGCCATCTCTCTAGTCCCTTGTTCATCTTTTTAAAAGGTTGTTTTGTTTCCTTGATGTCTAGAAGTGTGTGATGGACCACATATATAATCTTAGCACTTGAGAGGAAGAGGCAAAAAACTCTTCAGGTTTTTTTCAGAGTTCAGATTCACCCTCAACTACATAGCTAGTTCAAGAATAGCCATCGATTCATGAGACTGTGACTATGACTATGAAAATAACAGTTTTGGGATCTCTGTCAGTTCGAGACCAGCTTGGTCTACAAGAGATAGTTCCAGGACAGCCTCTAAACCCACAGAGAAATCCTGTCTCGAAAAAAAAATAACAGTTTTGGTGTTAAAATAAATATTACTACAATGTGGGAACCAAAACTCAACAGTTATACCTTTATAACAAGATAGAAGTGAAGGACCTAGGGCCATGTAAGTTAAGTACTCTTAAATCGTTAAATGATAAAAATGTATGTTTTGCATGTATAATTCCTTTCCATGGTATTCATCTGTATCCAGATGAAAAACTTCACCCAACAGACAGACTTCATATCATCTGGACAAGCAGTTCTCAGGTTTTCAGTTAGTTGCCCATTTTTAACTCATGCTTGTTCACCAATGCAGTTTCCCCTCAAGAAAACAGCTCATAGCTTCCAAAGTTATATCCCCATATGTATAACTCCTAGCTCCAAAAAGCATGCTGAATACAAGTAAAGGTGATATTAGAGACATGGTGTTACATCTACTGCCTTCTACGAAAGTCAATAAGCTGCAAATCTGTGTTATTACCTGCTGTCAAAAAATGTTGATAAAGATGCAGGCAAAAACTGAGACTCTCAGGCTAATTTTAACTGCCTCCCACAATATTTAAAATAAGAGCATTTTAATAAAATTCTAGATTTCATTTCTCTTAAAACAACAATCTAACTACTCTAGTCCTTCTTTCCTAAATAATAATTAGATAGATCTAGTAGCTGTTCTTTGTATCAAAACAAACATTGTCTTCTCTAACAAATTCCCACCAATCCAAACTGATGTTGTATCATATATGACTCTAGTCCTGGAGACATTTGGACTTTCAGCTTCTTGCCTGAATATGTTCTTGTTATAACATTAAAGAGAATTGAAAATTCAGCACTCTTTTTCTAAGGAATTAAAACAAAAGACATTCAAGACAAACAACCACCTATCATATTTTAAAATCTAAAAAGAATGGAAATATATATACTATACCACCCATTTATTTTATATGATATATACAAGTATATATGATATATATTATCAAGCATGTATATATTATAAATATACATCTGTATATAAAAATCACATATATAAATCCATATACACATGCATGGTCAATAGAGGCCACAATAGCATACTACAAAGTCATGAATCAGAAGGTAGGAGACATAACAGGGCTCCAGTCATAGATAACCAACCATGTTGCAAGCTGGGTGATTTCAGCAAAGCCTTTGAATCTCTATGAGCCTACCCTGGTAACTGTAGCATGGGGTGGTTAGAAAAGGTATCAGTGTTTCTTCTAACTCTGAAACTTGCTAATTCTTGGTTCTCCATTAGGAGAAGCAGATGAGTGAGACACAAACCCATTCATAGTACAGAGACACCTCACCTCATCATTTGTCAACTTCAGGAATAAATCTCCGAGGACTCCTTGGCGTGGCCATTTCAGGACCCTCTCCTGCAGGGCATGAAGTAAATCCAAGTGCTGCTGAACAAGGTAGCGCAAAGAGCCAGGGAAGAGGCTTGAAACAGAACAAAGGAAAAATTACACAAAAGGTGCCATAAGAACAAACACAGCAGGCCCCACTTTCAATTATCCAAAACACTCTCACAGGTTTGTATTTGGGATTTTAATTTTCTTTTTTATTATTACCATTTATTTATTTTTACTTTATGTGCATTGGTGTTTTGTCTGCATGTTTGTCTGATCTTGGATTTATAGACAGTTGTTAATTGTCATGTGGATGCTGGAAATTGAACCTGGGTCCTCTGGAAGAACAGTCAGTGCTCTTAACTCCTGACCCATCTCTCCAGTCACCACCTTAATTTTCTTTTCAGTACAGCAGCTATCCTCAGACAATAATAGAGAAGGCCCCTTTACTGATAGCCCCTTATGTAAATGTAAATTGGCCAAACAATAAAGAACACATCACAGGAATGACCTGCTAACAACTAACCTGGACCAGTTTCATGCATGCCACACTCTATAGAAACTCTAAAGGAATCCTTTTCAGTGTTTTAGATTCCAATACCCAAAGCATTCATACCCAAACAATTTATTCTTAGCTACTGGCTAGAAAAATGCCACTTGGGTCCGTGGTAAGGTTTGGTTAATATTGACAGCTAGAAGTTCAGGGTGTTAGGGAAATGAAGGAGCTTTCATATCTTTTTTCTTTCAGCTCCGAAAAGGCACACTGGGCAAGGGTACTCTCTTGTCTGTACTCTGCCGACTATAGACTAGGGCTGATCAGCCGCTTCCTGGTGTTTTACAGAGCCTCTTTGCTACTTCAAACCTTTCCTCTACCTGTCTGTGCACCTTATTTATTATTTATTTTTTTTTTGTTTATTTAGGTTTTTCCAGACAGGGTTTCCCTGTGTAACAGTCCTGGCTGCCTGGGACCTCATTTTGTGGACCAGGCTGGCCTCGAACTCACAGAGATCCTCCACCTGCCTCTGCCTCTTAGGTGCTGGGACTAAAAGCATGCACCACCATGCCCAGCTGTGTGCTTCATTTTTAACCCCTGAGGAAATGAAGAAGTGAGAAGTCAAAGAAGACTGGGGTGGAGAAAAGAGAGACAAAGAGAACCAGATCCTAAGAGCCGGGAACAGAGAAGGATAATATAAACAGGGTTCTACAGGAACAAGTCATGAGAAGCAGAAGACAATGGAATTTGCTGCACAGCAAGGAGGATCTGAACTCTAATTTGATGGCTCATGGAAATTGCAAGTAGATTTCCTTGTGCTTCAATGTGAATCATTAACAAAGATATGACGGCATACTTGTCTCTGAGAACTGAACTTACTTAAACATTTCCCAGGGGTATGATAGATGTGCATGTGTGGACCATGGAGCTGATTTGGCCACAAACCTCTGTCATTAGACAGGATGTCAGATTTAGAGGAGGCTTTGTTTTGTTTTCTTAAAAAAAAAAAAGAAAAGAAAAGAAAAAGAAAAAAACATTTCAGAGAAGAGACAAACACCAGAATAGGGCTCTGAGTTCTCTTATGAAAAATACAAAGAAACCTGCCACTACCGAGATCCATCTTAGCCTCCAGATCCATGAGTGCTGGCATACACAAAGCTAGCGGGTCCTAAGTCAAATGGAAAAGCCTCTTGATCTGTGCTCTCACTCACAGCAAAATACTCATGGAAGATCTAAATAACCAGCTCAGACCAGAGAGGAATTCAGGAAAGCTAGGGAGCAGGTAGACTGTGGGAAGAACTGAGTCTGGAAGGGATCACAAGTGACTACACAGAAAGAGCAGAGCTGCACCCACAGGCACCACAGGTGCAGAAGACTTCTCCCAGCACAGGCTACCGAGGACTCCAGGCAACAGCCACGGTGTGATGGTGATGACTGCATGACGTCACTGCACCATGCTGAGGCCTGATTTGGGAATGTGTTGTCTGTATGAATTATGGGATATATTCTAGATTATCTCTCCTCTTTTCCTCTCCAGTCCCTTTCTTTCTTTTTTTTTTTTCTCTCTTTTTAGAATACTGTTTTCTGCTTCACTGTGACCAGTTTGCTTGGAGAGCTAGAGAGCTGGTACCAGCCTCCTTTTGGACTGTCATTGGGTAACTGTGGTTTCAGGGTACAGTTAGACATGGCTAACATTGGCAGTGATTGTGGAAACACATTACATGAAGAGCAATGACCTACTCTGTGTTCTGCACCAAATATTGAAACACACTTTTACATTTTGAAAAAGAATTTAAAAAGAAATTATATGAAGTCAAGGGACTTGAGCCAGGTAGAGAACAGACAATTCAAGAAGTATAGCCATGACTCATCAGTAGACATCACAGGATTCTGGCTATTCTTTTTCCACTGTGGAGACAGTGCCCCGGGTCTCCCAGATGGTAGGTAAGTGCTCTGCCCCAAGACTACGTGCCCCAGTACTGGCAAAGAGTCATGAAGTTCCAGATCAAACAAAGCACAGGAGCCAGGACAGTGTTCCAGGGTACAAGCTTCTTTCCCACTTTTATCTGAGAACCCCAAAGTTATGGAAACTGGAAAAGAGATGCTGCTGCTTAGGACCTTAGGTAAAGAAGCAAAGCCACACCAAAACTCAGGTTCCTTTTCCACTTGAGTCACAGAAACTGAGCGTGTGCTTGGCAAAAATGCTAGTGTCCATAACCTTCCCAGAGCCCCAAAGGAGCAGGTGAGAGAGTAAACCAGGCTGTCTGTGTGGGAAATCAAATGGCCAAATGGAAAAGGAAGAAACAAAATCCAGGCCACTGTAGGAAGGTGGAGCAAGAGTCTAGAGCCATTATTATAAGTCAAGAGTTTGCCATGTCGTGTCACCCTTCTGTTCTCTATAGTTTGTTTACCTCTATTTTGTAGTAAAATAAACTTTGGAATCAGTCAAGACCCTTGTGAGGTGTTGGGGAAGATTTCCTCACCTCAGTCATTTAGATAGAGATGGATGTTTGGGGGTTGGGGTTTGGGTAGGAGGGGCTATTGCATGGCGGTAAAGTCAAGTAAAATGGGAGGAGCCATAAGGAGCAGGACAATGGGGGCTTCCTTAGATAGACTCACAACCAATGAATGGTTACCACCTTATGGAATAAATGCTTAAGGTTATAATGCCACATAACCCAGACTTTCTGTTCATTAGGATTGTTCTTTTCTTCACTTCATTCTGAATTAGCTCATCTTTATTACATTAGTCCTTTCCCCCAGGCCTTGCTTGTCTCTTTCCTGTTCTTTCCCAACAGAGGGAGTAAAGGTATAAGCAGGTGCAGGCTGTGACATTAGGGCCAGTGTGCAGGAAGCACTTACCCACTCCCTCAACACACACAGCTAGGTGCACACTCTTGTTTGTTTGTTTGTTTGTTTTTCGAGACAAGGTTTCTCCGTGTAGCCCTCACTGTCCTGGAGCTAGCTCTGTAGACTAGACTGGCCTCGAACTCCTGCCTCTACCTTTCAAGTGCTGGGATTAAAGGCGTGTGCCACCACCACCTGGCTAGGTGCACACTCTTACTCAGTACCTGATGCTATGGGATTAGACCTCATCATTGTCTAATGGCCCTTATTTCACCACCTCCATTTCCTGGGACTTTGATGAAGTCTATCATCCCTGAGGACATGAAATGTCTCACCTTATTCTAAACAGACAAGTCACAGACTAAAGTTCCCTTAGACTATATTCATTGTCTACCTGCTGAGAACCTAAGTTTGAGACTTGCCTACCAAAGACTATTTCTGGGACTCTCTAGGACCCAGAATTCCCAAAGTAGAAACAGTGAGTAACTTACCTTAAGTGCTAGTCAATCTGAAAAGCAAAGACAATGAGCACAGGGGTACCTTCTCTCCTTGGAATTCCTCTTTCCATCTGAGCCCTGGAATGTCGCCTTTATCTTCAGGATCAGAGAGATGTTAATGACATATTTCCGCTCAGATTCAAGCAGCTCCAGAGCCACTGTCTGCCTTTTTGCTTTAAAGCAAACCCAAAGGGATTTTTTTTGTTGTTAATCAACTCCCTCCCAAACACTAAGTCAGGCAAGAAATCAATAAAAACACATGGGAAAGCTCAGTTGGCAGTGTGTCCCCTAGCATCACATAAACCAGGCTTATTTGTCTACACTTGTTACCCAGGAGTCGAAGGTGGGAGGATCAGAAATCCAAGGTCGTCGTCAGATATTTAACCAGCCTGGGCCCCTTGAGACAAAAGAGGAAAACAGGGTGAAGTGGGGGAGACAGAAGGGAGGAGAGAGAAAGGAATCAGCACATTTAGGCAGGATGAAAAGCAGAGTGGAAGTGTGAGATTCATCCAGCAAAGCAAAGGACACAAAACCGTGTGTCTGCAGACAAAGGACCTGCTAAGAAGCAGTAGAGGCTGAGGGACTGGAGGCATTAGTGCCCAGAAGCAAGTGAGGTCAAGCTGCACAAATTGTAAGAGCCTCCAAATTGCACTTGCAGTTT